CACACTTCTTGTGTGAAATTCTCTGCACCCCATTGCAATTAGGGCCTGACCTGTGTGAATCCTAACTGTATCTCCCTGGCTTTGTGACCTTTGACAAGCTACTTAATCTCGCTGTGCTTTGATTACCTAACTATAAAATAGGTAAGGAAAATATTCACCTAATAGGACCGTTTTGAGTTAGATGAATTAGTACTTGTGAAATATTTAAAATGGTGCCTGGTGACTAGCAAATGCCATAAACAAGTTAACCATTACTATTATTATAACTGGAAAGACAGCAAAGTCCCAACTTCATCAGGGCAACATAGGATATTGCCAAAGGCTTCTGGGATAAAAGTAAATACATCTATAACCAAATAAATGAATGAGGCAAAGAACATTCAATACCAGACCTCAACAGCTCATTCCAAAAAATCCTTCCAAAGAAAGAAAGAAAGAAAGAAAAAAAGAAAGAAAGAAAGAAAGAAAGAAAGAAAGAGAGAGAGAGAGAAAGAAAGAGAGAGAGAGAGAAATAGTTAAAGAGAGAGAGAGAGAAAGAGATAAAGAAAGGAAGAAAGGAAGAAAGGAAGAAAGGAAGAAAGGAAGAAAGGAAGAAAGAAACCTCTGGAGCAGATATATGAGAAACGTTGGCTTTTAAAAATTGTTTTCCAGGAAGAGCTAATTCCTTTATTTATGTCTCTCACACCCCTTCTGGTTTTCTCACAACTTTATTAAGTATCTGGATGAACTGAATAATACCATCTTTGTCCCATGATTATTGACCATTATTATTGGCATCCTCAAGCAGAACCCATCCAGAGAATTTTAGAGGAGGCTTATCGCCATTAAAATCTTCAACCTCAAGGTTTATTCAGCTTATTCTTGGCTACAAGTAGGATAATGGAAAGATAGGGATTTAGTGACATTCCTTAACGGGCAAAGTGTGAATCCAAAGTTGTAGCTGTAGTTACAGGCCCAGAACTTTCCATAGGCTCTTTCTTCTCAGAGTTTGGTGGTCCATGAATTCAGTTCAATTAGCAAATTTATATTGATCATCGTGCAGATAACTATTGGGATTTCCAGAAAAGTTGAAGATGGGGTCTTGCTCTTGAGGACAATGAAGTCTAGCTGGGCAACATGAACTGATCTTACATTTAAAGAAGTAAGTGATTGTTGGAGTCTTGCTGGGAAATTATGATGACACCGAATTATTTCTCATATACTGCCTGAAGCATGATTGAAAACATTCCATAATAATTTAATTTAAAATATATATATTTTTATTGATTTAAGAAAGGAAAGGAGAAGAGGAGAGAAAAACATCAATGATGAGAAAGAACTGCAGATGGACTGCTAAGCCTGCAACCAGGGCATGTGCCCTGACCAGGGATTGAACCCTGACCTCCTGGCTCACAGACCAACGCCCACCAGCAAGCCACACAGGCTAGGCATAATTTAATTTTTTAATTCACACTTTTGTGCCCTATACCACCCTCCAAAAATCATATGCTTTCTTGTCCTGCTCACCTTAGGAATAATTTCCTCTGGGCTAGTGGTTCTTCAGCAGCAGCAGCAGCATCACCTGGGAACACGTCAGAAATGCATATTCTCAGTCCTGGCCCAGATCTATTGAATCTGAGATTCTGGGGTGTAGGGAGCAGCAATCTGTTTTGCCCACTCTTTTCAGTAATTCCAATTCATGCTACAATTTGAGAACTGCTGCTCTAGAAATTTTCCTTTAACCCCCTGTCCCAAACTGTGCTAAAAATCCTGTGGAAGACAGAGTATTTTGCATGAATATGTCTGTGAAGACATATTTGAAGAGAGAATCCAAAGAATCCATGGCCAGTTGATTGAAGATCAAGATTTTAATACCCATTAGACTGAATTAACACCCTTTAACCAAAAATAGAAAATTGATGGGTAGAAAATCGTTCCAACTCTCAAAGGTAAATAGAGACAGTACCAATGCATTCTGTAAAAAATAATATGGAAAAAAATAATGTGGAGCCTATGCTAAGAAATGATCAAATGATTCTTTAAAACTTAAAATTTCTACAGTACACAGCCATACTGCAAAAAAAATTTATCTGGAAACGTTTAAAGTTGGTGATGCTGCATGCTTGTCTCAACCATTTGGGGTGGGAATGGGAGATGGTAAATTAAGAAACATTATCAGTTTCCCAATTTCATATCACCGAAGTGGTTTTCAGAAATGCAGATCAGCAGCTGTGTCTGAGTTCTTATTTCATCATCAATCCTTTAACATCAGTCAATAATATAAATGTTTTAATATTTACAAGTCCATGAAGGTGAAATGTTGTTTAACTTGCATATCTTTGATTAGACATTAAAAATGTTTATTAGAAAATTTTCTTCCTTTATGAATTGTCTGTTTATGTCTTTTGTTTATTTTCCAATGAACTATAAATATTAATTGATTAGTAAAATGTCACATTACAAAGGAAATACATTGTAAAATGTCTTTCTCCACTTGTCAATTACCTTTTAATCTCCCTTATGATATTATATATGTGGTAGTATGATATTACATAATGTAATATTATGTATCTATTATATTTTATATATCATATAAATTATATTATATATGTTTCTTATATTTTTTAAATAGGCAACTTTATATAGTTGGTTGTTTCTCCTGTGTGTTTTTTTTCAATTATCTTTTTTTTTTTTGCTTAAATTTTTAAAATCTAAGATCAAGATATGTTTTACTGTATTTTATTTTAGTAGGCTTAAAGAAATTCTATAGAAGTTTTATACTATTTCATATCTATCTCTTTAATGCACTATGATTTAATTCAGTGCATGGTATGGGAAAAACTACAACTAGATTTTCTTTCTGAAAGAAATGGGTAGGGAGTTTTGGTCAAGATGGTGATATAGGTAAATAGAGTACAACTACATCAAAATTACTACTATTAATAATTTAAAGAATAACCATCATTAAGAATCACCTGAAATCTAGCTGAACAGAAGCCCTACATCCAAGGATATAAAAAAGAAGCCACATCAGAACTAATAGGAGGGGTGGAGATGCAGGGCAGGCTGGTTCCACATCCATGTAAGGTGAATAAGAATCAGGAGGGATATCTAGGACCCCAGTCCAGGGTCCCAGTGCCAGGAAGAGAAGTCCCCATAATTCTGGCTGTAAAAACCAGCAGGAATTGTAGTTAAGTGAGATGGAGGGTTGCTGAAGTCCCAGTTATTTCTCTTAAAGGCTTAGTGTGCATGGACATACTTCTATTTGCTTGCTTTGAGCTCCAGCACTGGGCCAACAGCTCAAAAGTCACTAAGGATATTCAAGGAGTAGTTGAAATGTCTGCTTTTGGAGTGAGGGCTGGAGGGCCAACTTTATCCCAGATAGAAGTACTGGCTGAGGCCATTATTCCTTGGCTGAGCCCTTCCCACACAGAGCCAGCAGACTTCTCCATATAAACATCCTCTCTTGGCTCATGATGTAGACTTTCCTAAAATCTTTCAAAGAAAAACCAACTGACCTTGGCGTACCCTGCAACTCTTTTTAAGTGGCCCAAGTCCTACCACTAGTGGGAGCCTACTTCAGTTTGCAGTTTGGCCTATGCAAAGCACCTCCAAGCCCAGCACAGGTAGCAACCATCCGCAGATCACTCTCATTTAACAAAGCTTCTTCTAAGAAAGTAACCCTGATAATAGGGCAAATGGGGGAAGAAAAGCCAGGGCCTTTTGGGTCAATGGGAGAGAAGGTAGGACAGCTCTGTCCCAGGGTTGGGCCTGCAGGGTTGAAGGTGGAAGATAATGAATAATCAAGCACTTGCAGGGATCTTGGCAATTTACCTTAGGAGAAGTAGAAGTTGCTCTTTCATAACATAGAAACTCAGAGATACATGAGGCAGGGTATGTGCAAAATGGCACCCATACTTAGTTCTGGCCCATTGTCTGGAGTATCATGGTTGCAGATTAGTGAGACAGAGGATGTTCTTCTTTATTAATATTGAAGATCCCTTCTTCTTCCTGATGGTAATGTCCACTAGAGAGTTTTACATAAGACTGGTGACTAAGGAAATCCTCCTGCCACCCAGGCCTCACTCCTTAGGCTCTGTGGTTATTAGGAAAGAGAGGGCAGTGCCAAGTCCTGAGGCTGGAAAAGGAATCAGGACACCGTGCTAAGGAGACTCTGCTTTACTTGGAGATCGCGAAGAACCACAGGAGCAGGGCACCATCAGGTGTGTATTGAGGTCCCACCAGGTGTCAAATCCTCCTGGAAGGGGGGCTTTCCACTCATGTCTGATAAATGGCTTAACTACTAAAAACAGGCCGGCTGAAAAAAAATGTATGTCCCTGAATTAAATAAAACAAGTTCGTTTCTCCTTTGAGTAGGAATGTGGACTGGGGTGGGCACAGCAAAGATCCACCCCAAAGGAGAATGAGCCCTCTGGAGAGCAGCAGGCCATCCTGTGGGTGGAGAGATAAGAAGTGGGGCAAAACTGTCAAAGGCTTTATCAGACCGGCCCAGCTTGAAGGCACTGGGAAAGTCTCCGTCTGAGCCTTGCTTGGCTCGGCTTCACTCTGCTCTGTGACTCTACCAACCAGCATGTGCCACGGAGGTTACAGGGTGGCAGTATTGGCTTATGACCGCCTGAATGAGCAGAAGATGGCTTCTAGAAGAAAAGACCTAGGGAAGGACCAGGGGTATGAAGGTCCTGTAAAGCTAGTCTGCTAAGAGCCTGGACCTGAACGGTAGCTGAGGGGATGGACAAGAGACTGCAGCTCTAAGAACTAGTCAGATAGGACTCAGGACACTGGTGAGCGGTGAGGACTGAAGGAGAAAAATGGGTCCAGGGGAATTCTAATACTTCTGACCCAGACAATTGGACTTTAAGCAGCAGAGCAAATTTTGAGAGAGGAGAATGAATTTCATTTAGATCACATGAACTTTATTCAATTGAGAAGTTTTAACTCCCTTATAACCAAGATAACTAATATTTATTACAAAAGCAAATATATCAAAGAATACTCTGAAATGCAATTAAATTCGTTTATTGAAGTAATAGAAACAGTGAGTAATACAGGTTGTTTCAGCATAATATAGGTGTCACACATTTCTCCTGGTAGTAGATAAACAGATGAACAGAAGCAACACAATAAAAGAATAATCTAGAATAATACATTCTATTACTGGGAGTCTCCCAGGAGATCAGCAAATTCAGCCCCAATAACAGATGAGGAAACTAATCACTAGAGAGGCTGTCATTCTCCACTCTACAAATTTTTAGGGCTTTCACCATGTACCAGGCACTTGCTGCTGAGCATATAAAAGCTAATAAACACGGTACCCATATGTAGGAGCTCCTAGCCAAGCTCCTGTGTGACAGAGTCCAGTAAGCAGGAAATTAGCACACAGCCTAAAGAAGCCCTGTGTGAACTGCATGCTTTCACTGCAAGGTGCATCCTATCCAGGCATGAGGGCAGTTCTCTGAAGGTCTGTGTGAGCTGACTTATGAGGATGAGCAGACGTCAGGGAGAATAAAAGAGAATGTATCCCAGGAAGGCCAAGGTGAGGGAAAGCATAGTGCATTTTGTTCATCAAAGGAATCAGAGTACAAGGGAATTCTAGTCCTGGAATGTGGAGACAATAGTCTCTGGACTCCCAGTTCAAGGCTATTTTTAGAGTACTACCTGTCTCTGTCGGTCTCCTGACAGTATTTGATAATTCGGCACAAGTATCAATACTCTTGCATAGAAAAAAGGAAGCATAAGTGGCTCATGCTTACCAGGGGTAGACATTAGGGTTTTTTAACTCTCTTGTTTAAAATGTCTCCTTAGAGGAATAATTACTTTGTATTATAACCTTTCATTTCTTTCCAAAATATTTATACTAATGGATTCATGCCATGAAGTCTTCAGTCCAGAAGGGACTTTAAGGGGTTATTTTTTCAGTAGTCTAGGGAGCATGGGGTGGGGAAGAGGGAGCCATCCCCTCCCTGGTGGAGGCAATAAAGGGGACATTATCTGTGGGCAACTTAAACATTAATAACAAACTGAACAAAATTGTTCTGCTGATTATTATGACCACATGCCAGGAACCTGGTGATTCTCAGGCAGTAATAAAGCATTCTTCGCTGCCGAGGCAAACTGCCCCTACTGATCGCCACTGCACTTCCTATACACCTGCACATGCAGAAAGCACAGAGCCGATAGGCACACCAAGTCCCCATGTTCATCTCTTCAGTTCCTATCACCGCATCGTCTCCATCCTAGCCAACATCATATGTACAAACAAACAAACAAAAAAACCCCACACCCATGTATTTCTCCAAGAAAGCGTCTTATCCCTCAAGCTCCAATAGGTTTTGCGCTAAGGCCGCCAGTGTCTGAGGCTGTGACTCCTGCGTTCACAGGCTTACCAGGAACAGTCCTCGCTCATCCTCTCCAGCCGGGCCGTCTGGCACGTGCTTGGGGGGGTAAACACTGAAGGGTCTTTGATACCCAGCTGTATGTCGAAAAACCGCGTGGACAATATCACACTGTAATTCTGGGTGAAGGTTTCCTGGACCGGGTAACAATCCTTGAGCGTATAAATGCCAATCCAAGTTTCATCTAGAAGAAAAAGGAAAGTTGACTTTTAATATAGAAGGCAGGCAAAGTGCTTGTATATTTTTGTTGTGGTAAATTAGACATAAAAATCTACCATTTCAACCATTTTTAAGTACAGTTCTGTGGCATTGAGCACATTCACATTGTTGTATTACCCCACCACCACCACCACCACCACCACCACCACTATCTCTGGTACTTGTTCATCTTCCCAATTGTAACTCTATGCCCACTAAATGCTAACTCCCCATTCCTCCTTCCCCTAGCTTCTGGCAACTACCATTTTTTTTCTGTCTCCATGAACTTGATTACTTGGCACCTTATATCAAGGGAATTATACAGTATTTGTCCTTTAGTGACTGCTTATTTCACTTAGCACAATGTTCACCCATGTTGTAGTGTCAGAATTTCCTTCCTTTTTAGGCTGAGTGATATCCCATTAGACAAATACACCACACTTTTTTTATCCATTCATCTTCTGATTGGCACTTGGGTCTGTTTCCACCTTCTGACAATTATGAATAATTCTGCTATAAGCATCAATGCTCAAATGTCTGAGTCATTTCTTTCAAGTCTTTGGGGTATATGATCAGAAGTAGAATTTTTGGGTCATATGGTAATTCTATGCTTATTGTTTTTGCAAACTACCATACTGTATTCCATAGCATAAAGGCCCATATTTCTGACACAGTCTTGGGCTAAGCATGTTGACAGCAGAAGAGAGAAGTGCTTCATATATGTGTCTAACAGCCGACACTAAAAATACTGGCAGTAAATCTGATCGCTGAAACTTTAGGAAGTGATATGGGGGAAGGGAAAGGAGACATCCAACTGTAATCTGTGCCATAGACAAACACCTTCCATGTTACTGGTCTGGGGAGGTTGGATAGGGGGGATCATCAAATGTCAGAGTCAAGGCTAAGTCCATGAGCGGTCATGTGGCAGAAAGGTACAAGTGGGGCCAGAAGGCTGAGGTGTTTCAAATATGATGTTTACATCCTGGTGCTACACAACGAGCAGAGTACATGGGGGCACTTCAGTGGGGGGGGGAATGGGGAGTGTAAACAATTTGATTACACTCTTAAATCTTCCTAACAACTGCCTTCCCTAGTGGACTTAAACATTTGCCCCAGGATCCTCTCTGAGATGCAGCCTGCCCGTGGCTTTTTGCACCCTTACATGATCTGGCTGACTTTCTGTCGGACCACTCCTGAACGGTGATCTGCTCCTGGGGCCCCCCTATGGAGTACTGGTCCTCAAAGGTGGCATTCTGAGGAATGTCAAGAGGGTCCCAGGGGTCTGCCAGGGTCATCTTGGAGCATTCCTTGGTGGCTTGTTCAATCTGAAACATCACTCCATCTTTATAGAGCAAAATATATTCAAATAATCTGGAAGACAGAGAAAAAGAGAAAGTCAAAACGTTAAGTGACAATTATCATGGTTTTTATCAGCACACGGGCCAAAAGATTTTGATATAAATTACTCTTAAAACAGAAAATAGTTTTGCTCTTAGGCAATCATTTACTTATTTCTAAACACTAGACATTCAAACAATCTGAATATAAAATAAAGTTCCGAGCTCAAAACTGAATATTCACTGGATAATTACTTATCAAGCACCATATGCCTAACTCTGTGCTTAGGACACAAACATGAAAAAGACCTGAGTCCGATGAACAGATATTTGTGACCTATCTTTTAGACACAGGGTCACAGGAGGGTTTGACCGTTGGCTTGGTTGAGCTCTCCTTACAGCACTAAGTCAGGGAATTACAGATACTGAATACAGAATGACAAGAACTTGCTGAGGATGGACCAGGCACTTCAGCCCCATTGTCTTGATTGTGAGTCAAGAGTAAAAGGTTTTGATGAGAATGGATGCCCCTCAAATACTCGGAGAAAGTTGATATGAATAGGGACAAAAGCTGGGGGGACCCCAACATGAATGGCTTCTCACACAGTTTGTCTCTCTGCCTCATCTCTCACACCCATGTGCACACCTATTCCCAGGCTAGGCCTGGAGTCAGGAGACCACCCCATGATCACTTTATACACTGTGTTGTCAACCATCCTGTGCCATTCCTTTCTTTAAAAAAATTCCTCAGCAGAAGATATGTTTTATTAATTTTTAGTGAGAGAGGAAGGCACAGAGAAAGAAAGAGAGAAGCCTTGATGTGAGAAGCATCTATCAGCTGCCTCCCTTACGTGCCCCCACTGGGGAGCAAACCTACCACCGAGGCATGTGCCCTGAGAGGGAACCAAACCCCCCACCATTTGGTGAATGGGAAGATGTTCAGCCACCCGGCCAGGGCCCTGTTTCATGCTTAAAGCTGGCAATCTTAGGTGAAGCCCACTTTCTTTGGTGTGTGTGTATGTGTGTGTGTGTGTGCGTGCATGTGTGTGTGCATTTTACTTTAAATAAATAAATGAATATATATATATATATATATATATATATATATATATATATATATATATTCTATTACAGTTGACATACAATATTCTGTTAGTTTTGGGTATACATCCCCATGATTATACATTATATGACTTACTAAGTAATCACCCTAGTAAACTTCATACCCATCTGATACCATACATAGTTAGAATATTATTGACTATATTCCCTCTGCTGTACTTTACATCTCCATGACTACTCTGTAACCACCATTCTGTACTTCTTAATCCCTTCACCCTTTTCACCCATCCCCCCAACCCCTTCCCATCTGGCAACCACCAAAATGTTCTCTGTATCTATGAGTCTGTTTCTGATCTGTTTATTTATTTATTTTGCTTTTTAGATTCCACATATAAGTGAGATCATATGCCCATTGAGTTTTTGTGCGTTTGGCAATCCAAAACCCAGGCCATGCTGCGAGTTGATGCAGAGTGAGGTTGCAGCCGTGACCTCAAAAAGTGACACTTGTAGCCAAAACCGGTTTGGCTCAGTGGATAGAGCATCGGCCTGCGGACTCAAGGGTCCCAGGTTCGATTCCGGTCAAGGGCATGTACCTTGGTTGCGGGCACATCCCCAGCAGGGGATGTGCAAGAGGCAGCTGATCGATGTTTCTCTTTCATCAATATTTCTAACTCTCTATCCCTCTCTCTTGCTCTCTGTAAAAAATCAATAAAAATGCCTGTTCGCCATCTCAAGTCTGAGGTTACACAGTATTTTCTTCAGGCAGAGGTATTACAAATGATCATTGTCTATGTGGTTAAAACAGTATTACTGTGAGGATTATGCTTCTTTTTTCTATGAGCTGGTATAGAAATATATACATGACCTCATTTCATATAGTTAGACATATCTATCCTGCTTATTACAGAAAACATTTGAAATGGCTTAAAAGGGTAAAACTCAATGACAGGCCTTTGGAAATGAGAGTGTATTGTACATAGACAGAAAAGGCACCGTTCACTTTATGCCATATTGCTAAAAAAAAAAAAAAAAAAAAAAAAAAAAAAAAAAAAAAAAAAAATGGAGTCAGCCCCTTATATGCACGCAGGATTCACACCAAACTGTAAGCCCTTTGGAGAAGTTTGGGGTTAGATTGGCACTGTTTCCTCATGCCACCGTTTTCTCATTAGGTCCCTGGCGCATGAAAGTCAAAACATTCATGGAAGGAATGCAAAAGCACCTCCGTGTTAGAGCATAGTCCATTCATTAACGTGGTAGTGGGGCTCGCTGGACCAGAGGTGGGCATCTGACGTAGGCAGGACAGTGGAATTGTAGCAGAAGTTCTGCCAGTCTCAGGATCTGTCATATGTAAACACAGAAGTCATAGGAGCCTGTTTTACAACATGTGGACTGAACAAGAGCAAAAAATGAAGCAGAGAAATGCATGAGCAAGCTGGGATTCCAAGAGCTGATCAGTCCCTATGTGTGTTTCTTTTCTGAGGCCCAGTGCCTGGAAAGTTATGATAAGTCTCCTTTGTTCTAGTAAACTTCCCTTTTTCTGTTTGGAACTCATTTCTAACATATTGTAGTTGAAGACTCCACTGTCCCAGGTAACAGCTGCCAGCAGAGCTGTTGTGAGAGAGGCAAAGGATGGGCCACTGTAGGACCAAGGGCACCAGTGGCTGGTCAGGCACCTGCCAGGGAAGGGAAGGAGACAGAAGGAGAAGTAGAGCCAACTTCACTGTTTTCGGGTCAGCTTTGCTTATACCAAAAAGTACAATTTAATTTTAAAATGAGAATTCTAGGCTTAAAATAATCATTACAAAATGTTAACATTTATTAATTCTGGGTGGTCTGAATACAGGTGTTTGTTATGAAGTTCTCTTTTGTTTTTCAAAATAAACATATTTTTAAGTGAGTTCATAGTGTGATATTGAGTTATGTCAACAGTCCCTTAAGTAAAACAGAAAATAATCATATGATGAGAAAAAAACAGAACTGTAACAATTTGCTTTGCAAAATACCATGTGCCTATATAGGCGAGTACTGCTCTTCACGAAGTTTTGGACAAGACTTTCCTGATGCTCTAGTGGCTTGTAGGTTTCTGTGAACATATGTAGAGTTAAGTTGTCAGATTCTCCATCGCAAATAGGATACAGGGCCTAGAATCTGACAGAGCCAGAAGGTCAAAACGCAGAGGTCAGCCAAGGTTGAAATGAATCACTGGCCTGGGATGCTGTGCGGATAATAACTGCAGACCCGAAGAACTGACCAACTTCAACAGAAACTAGATTCTGGGAGGTGAGAACAAAGCGAAGGAAGTTGTCAGGAACTGTACCCCTGGGGTGCAGTCAAGTAAGGTGAGGTGCTGGAATGGATTGGAGAACAAGGCAGGCGGACCAGCCCTGGGTCAACAACAGCATGTAAACTTCTCCTTGCTGGCCAGACACTAAGTCAATATGGCTCTGGGAGGCCCCACCACCGGGTGTCAGCTGTGAGCCAGGTCAGGCTGTCCGGGTCTGGCCCCCAGTCAGCAGGCCAAGCTCTCCACTGCAACCTTCGCCAAGGGTGCCAGTGTCCCATTTTGCTTTTGATAAAATCCTCTGGCTAACATTGACAAGTTCTATTGTTTCCTGAAAATTTCTTTTCCTGAGAAAACATGCTCTACCATTCCCATGTTTTCTAAAACACTAACGACCTGCAGTTCTTCATATTTTGAAAATAGGTCTGTAGCTTTTGTAAAACTGATTCATGTTTTTTTGTTTTGTTTTGTTTTTTTTAATATATTTTATTGATTTTTCACAGAGAGGAAGGAAGAGGGATAGAAAGCTAGAAAGGTCAATGAGAGAGAAACATCGACCAGCTGCCTCCTGCACACCCCCTACCAGGGATGTACTCTTGACTGGAATCGAACCAGGGACCTTTCAGTCGGCAGACAGACGCTCTATTCACTGAGCCAAACTGGTTTCGGCTGATTCATGTTTAATATAAAAATGTCAAACAATATAGACATGGAAAAGGAAATAAAAATTGTCCAAAAACCCTAACAGAAATGACTCTGGAAACATATGTTGAGTTTTTCATTTTAATTTTTAGTGTTAATTGTGGCAAAATACACATAACATAAAATTTATCACCATAACCATTTTTTTGTTGTTAATCCTCACCAGAGTATATTTTTTTCATTTTATTTATTTATTTATTTATTTATTTATTTATTTGAGAGGCTGTTTCCAAATCTTAGCTATTGTAAATTTTGCTGCTATGAACATAGGGGTGCATCTATCAGATTAGTGACTTTGAGCATGTTTTCATATGTCTCTTGACCTTTTGTATGTTGTCTTTTGAAAAGTATCTGTTTAGGTCCATTGCCCATTTTTTATTGGATTGTTTATTTTCCTTTTGTTAAGTTGTATGAATTCCCTGTAAATGTTGGAAATTAAACCCTTATTGGAGATAACATTGGCAAATATAATCTCCCATGCAGTGGGCTTTCTTGTTTTGTTGATGGATTCTTTTGCTGTTTAGAAGCTTTTTATTTTGATGCAGTCCCATTTGTTTATTGTATCTGTCTAATTTTCCCTACACCATTTACTGGAGAGCCTGGCTTGACTCCATTGTATGCTCTTGCCTCCTTTGTCAAATATTAATTAAGCATAGTCTAACCTGCATTTTAAATTTAACAATTTGTTCTTGATATACTTCCAAGTCAAATATAGCTCTAGGAAATTATTTTTCTCTAATTTATTATGAAACATTTTAAACATGCAGAAGAGTTGAGGGATTAATATAATAATTTCCTTAATATTTACCACCTAGATTCAACACAATTGTTACCTTTTGTCATATTTGTTATATTTATTTTCTAAATATTTCTCAAGAACAAGACCTTTCTGCCTCGTGATCACTATACCATTGTCACACCTAAGAAATTAAAATTTATTCCCTAATACCAGCTAATATGTGCTCATATTCAATTGTCTCCCAAAATAT